GGGTGATTTTGGAAATTTTTTTAACGGTTTCGCTAAAAGCCTACGCGTGCTTCCATCGTCCTGAATATTTAATGAGTGCAATTTGTATTGCAAAATTGTGAAATACTGCATTCTGTCCGAGGTCTGTATGATAAAAACAGCGTCTCATAGTACTGTTTCACCTCATATGTGATGTATAAAAAGTATATAGGGTTGTAAAGGTTGGTTTACACGCCCTCAGATTTGTTGCCAAGATTTTGAAAAGTAAACTTGTCAAACGCCAAAAAATTCGGCCTGATTTGTTTTCCAAGAATTTGTTTTTTCAGGCCCAATCTACTGTGATCAAGAGCCATTATGTCTCTTTAATGTGATCAAAGATCATTGCTATTTTTTGGGTGTACATATAAGGCTATCAACTCGATGTAAGATTTGGTTCACTCTTAGACCGAAGGCAAATTATTTTTCTCTAAAATCACTTAGCCTTTCCCTCAGTAGTCACATGAATGTGCTCAAAGTTAACTGATTTGTGGAATAAACGTTCATTGTTTGATTTAAATTATAAATTTATTAATGGGAGCTTCGTCTTTAGCCCTGGCTTAATCTATATATTATTACTTACGTAGTCAAAAGCCCAGCTAGGATTAGAGCCAGAATCATTGCGATGGATATCCAATCCAGTCACTGTTCCAACATCTTTGGCACCATGCGAGAACTTGTCGATGCTACAAACCAAAAGTATCAAAATAATCAAGTTAAACAAATTAACCATGTACAATACAAGAGCATCGGCTTCAGGAAATCCGATCTAGAATAACACCCTGTAACATCCGACATCTCGCCAAGAATAAGTTAAAAAAAAAAAAAAAAAATCACTCCGCAAATTATTTTTTGATATTCTGAATTCAGAAGATGAAGATGACTATATTGCTACGCCCACCTTAATTAAAGAGGAAAAATTAGCCAAAAATGTCGAAAAATAGATTCTTGCTTTTTAGTTTCTACTTTTACAATTTATTTGTTTAATTGTTTTTCCTTTAGTCTGTTATCTAGTCCTCATCCATGTTACGATTTTTTTTTCATTTATTTGTAAACTGTAAACTTTCCTTAGTTAATAGCCTTAGTCTTGATTTCTTATATTTTCCACGCATTGTCCCTCCTCGAATAGCCTCGCTAGCCGCGGGCAATACTTTTGTAATTTTATTTGTTTATTAATAAAGTTTTGTTGTTGTTGTTTGTTTTGTTTTGTTAACCAATTGCCATTTATAAATTTCAATCCGACTAGTACACGTATTTTTTTTGTCACGGCAAAAGTTTCTTTAAAATGTTTATGATTCAATTATAACTATATGTTTGGGGGTGAAGGGGGTTGGTGGTTTTAACCTCACTAATGTGTGAGACAGAGATATTTCTGAGAACTTAAGTCGTTGTGGCTTGCACGACAACAATAGGGACCTTCAGCAGGGACGAAGGGCACGAAAACAAACCATGACGCTACCACGGAAGCTCATTAAAAACGAGCACTAGTCTTCAGCCACATCTCGTTGAGTACGGGATTTCCCGCCATTTGCAGAGAGATGTGCGGTAACCGGTCTGCTAAATGATTTTGTTTCCCGCTGAAATGCCGGCGTGGACGACGTTCTCGTTCCAGGACCAATCGGTCATAGAAATCCTCGTCCTCTTCCTCGTCCTCATTAGGGAGTTTAAGATACGGAGACTACGGACTACGAACTACGGCTGGACGAGCGTTGTCCTTCGTTTGTGGCACTGGGTTGAGTCGAGCAAATATAGAACGTTAATATTGCTTTACAGACAGTAGACTACGAGAGAAGAGGCGGAGGGGGAAACAACACGCAAAGATTTTCTTGTTTTCATCACAGTTCATAAAAATGCAACTCACTTTTGTATGTGATCTTATCTTTAGAACAATGAACAAACTCTTCCATACAAGTAATTACGTTGGGTGAAATTGGTGAACATAGTTTTGGTTACACAGGTTTAATTTTTTTCGCCCATGAATACTTATGTCAAATATTAAACAAATAGACAGAAATAGTAATGGCTCATTTATTAGATTTAGAAGGTGGATTTCTCCGACTACTGATTTGATGTAGTTTGAAACATTGAATTGCCAAGTTTCGATTGTCTCGAAGATGTTTACATCATTTTCATTCAGCAAATGCGATACAAAAACTCGCATAAACAAAGGTTACACGAGTAGAAAGACCCACTAATCAGTTCGAACAAACATTGAAACTTTTCAAGTGCGAAGAGAAAGTAAATTACCTGCATGATTTCTCTTCTCCTCGGCCGTCAATCTGAAGCATTTAAATATGAACTTAGCTAGATAAAAATAGTCACAACAGAGGATTAAAAGCGTAAATCTGAGCAGAAATTAGACACAACTTACATATTTCGCTTCCCTCTCACTTAAAGCAGGTGAATTGAAAACTTTTTTACGAAAAGACGAGATTCTTGAATTACCGAGACGGCAAAATACGAGCAAAATGTTCTCCGTAGTCCC